ATGCTGATTTCTATATATTTCATACGTTTACCACCCTTTTTTGATGTCCCGTTTGGTAGCAATCAAACGATCGAAATAATATCACATGATTATGCCGCTGACGAATCTAAGCGCAGGGACCGGATTTGAGAGGACGCCGGTGTTAACTTATATATAATAATATATAGAGTTAATTTTATGGACGTTTAAATTCATGAGACAGCGTCCCGTCCTTTTCGTCTATATAGACTATGGACTATAGAGAATATAGACTATATAGACTAGAGTAAAGAGAGAAATACTGAAAATACTATCACTAGCCAAACACAGATAGTTACTTTAGTTACTCTACTCATATGTGCACCGAAACTTGAGTTACTAGTTTGTCAGTTTTGTCACCTACCTCATTATCTCGCACACCTCTATTAACAACTTCACTTTTAAAAATGTCTTTGATTTTATTAATCAATGAAAAGGATGCATGACAAGCATAGAATACTCTTCGATTGTGAGCATAAGTCTGTCAATTTTATTTCTATTTCAAAGGATTAGTGTCTACTCTTTTTCGAATTTAAGTGTAATCCATACTAATAAACAGACTTAACTACATATTCCTCTCTTTTCTATATATATATATATATATATATATTATTATGGTGACTATAACATAGCGTCTATATTAATATATAATATTAAAAAAAAAATTTTATATGGAAATCAGCTTCGTTAAATGCTTTTTACAAATATATTTACAAGTATTTATATTAAAATATTGTTACTATGAAAAGAAACAAAAAAATTATTATGTATATATTTTTGCTTTTCGGATTTATTTAAGTAAATTAAATTTTTATGCATATATAGTAGATATACATAAATATGAAAAATTCGTCAAAATGGCTGTTAATTTCAAAATGCAAAAATAAGAATTATTTTAAAAATTAAATGCGTTTAAAAACAAATTGATGAAATGTACTTAAAATTTTACCATTAAAAATGAAAAAATTAAAAATAAATCAGAAAAATTAAATTAGATATAAAACATTATAATAAAAAAAAAATAAATTTAAAATTAAAATAATAATAAATATTTTAATGAAAACATAAAATCAAATTAGCTGCTTAAACTGCTTCGATTTGTTATAGGCAATTAAAGAAAAAAATAAAAATTGTTGCAATTGCTTATTAAAAAATTATTAATTTATTGTGCTAATTATTGTTAATTGTTATTTTAGCACAGAACGCACACATACACACGCCCATAAAATTAATTAATTAGCTAATTAATTAAGAAGAACAATGCAATACATACACAAACGACTAATGATATAAAGAAATTATTGCTTATTATTAAATTATAGCAGCAAACGTGTTATAGAATTTTTTATAAAGAAAATTGATACGATGAAAGAAATAAAAATAAATGATAAATAATTAATTGATAAATAAATTAAATTAATAAATTAAAATAATAAATATATTGTATATTAAAATAAAAAACCGACGTAATTAAAAACTATTAATATATATTAAATATTAATAAATTAATGATTTTTTAGCAATATAAAATAATTTAGAAAAAACAATAATGAATGAATTGAACTAAAAGGAAAAATATATATAAATAAAGTGATATTAAACAAAAACTAATGTGTATAAATTTTTATTGAATTTTAATATCATTTTAAAAAAAGTTTGAAGAAATTCGGCGACTATCAACGATCTTTAATATAGTATCTTCCAATTAACTTCCGAGGAGGTAAGATAAAAAGGTAACTAAATTTGAAAGCATATAACTCACTTTTTTTATGCTGATGAACTTTTAAACATTTATAAAAATTAATATATTGAAATGTGATATCCTCAGAATGAGTAAAGCATAGTAATCAGGTTGTGGTACATTTTGTAACGAAAAATATTAAAAAAATTGTTTTACTGCAACCAATAGGATTATTATTATTATTATTATTTGGACAAGGAATAGTGTACTGCGACCTTAAAGATTTATTATGTCCTTTAGTCTGATTAGCCGAATTTCTTTAATCATAGACAGTATAAAACCTATCTATCTGGCTTTAATACCCTATGTTCCATGTAATACCCTCCTAAGTGTTTCTTCCGCTTGTGCATCAGTACCGAGCATTTCCATAGCATACGGCATGCAGTTTCTCTCTCTCTTCCGTACAGTATCTACAGTCTGAGTTGGATTGGATTCCTAACTTTGTTAGATGATTTTTCACCTACAGCTTTCTTAATTAAACCTAAACAAAACATGCTATTAAAAATTAACGCAAAACTTTACTCCTGATTGCTTCAATTTAATGTTAGAAACGGTAACCAAACAGCAGATTTAAACTGCATAAATTCCACAATATTTTACAAAAGTAGAATGCTACTTGTGTAAGCCAATGATATTGATATTGATATTGTCAGAATAGCTTTTTCCACACTAGAAAAAGAAACGAAACATTGGGATTTGTGGTAAATGAGGGAAAAACAAAATACTTTCTGCCAACAAACATATTTTGCTGAGCATCTTGAATCACTATCGACAAATAAAATTCGAAGTTTTGGAAGATTATGACTAACAAAAATTACAAACAGACTTCAGACTAATTTTGACAAATAAAAATTAAACTTATTAAATCTCTTCCATACCCGTTATGATGTATGATGCAGAAGGTTTGACAATAACCAAGAGTGATGAGAATGCTTTAGAATCATTCGAGAGAAAAATTCTTCGAAAGATCTATAGCCCCTTACGCGTTGGCAACAAGCTATACATGAGCTATACAGTGACATTGACATAATTAAACTAAGACTAAAGTCCAGGAAAATTATTTGATTCAGTATCCGCTGATGGTAGAAGACTTTGCATCTTCGTTAGAAAAACCAGGTTACCGACGCAAAAATAAACAGCAAAACTTAGAACATGAACTTCTCATAACGGAAATGCACATGCTGTCTGGATCAGTAGAATGAAAATATTGGAAAGGCACAAAACAACTTTACTCGTGCATTTAGCAAAGTTACCCCAATAGGCGTAAAGTTGTAAGATTTCGATATCCGCTGGGATGGCCATGTAATATGAAAAGTGGTGCAGCAAGTTTTATAGACAAAATAGATAGACAGTGCCAGACAGGCCATTGGAAACAAGGAAAATAGAATTACTGCAATGCAATGGAGGACCATAAACGAAGAAAGAATTTGAAGCATTCGACATCGATATTCCACAGGAGTTCTTATCTAAAATAGATGACGCTGAGAAAAACAAGAGAAGAAATTCAATTATTGAGCATTGAAAATATTATACACAAATAACAGAATAAGAGATAATGTTCACCAAATTTGCATATGATCCAATTAGTACCTTGTGATCAAAAACTTATTCACATGAACTGTGATTCCCGCGCTTCTCGTACAATTAGTTTTTGTTTGGCGTCTATACAAAGTAGTCGAAAAATTTTCGTGTGACGATTTTTAGCTGAATTTCATTCAAAAAAAGCGTCGTTGTGATGTGGCCAAAGAGATGATTTCCAACGCAGATAGTGACTCCACATTCATCGAACGCATCGTCTATGAATTTGACATGCCCACCAAACAACAATCGACCGAATGGTGCTTCCAAGGTGAGCCGAAACCGAAAAGAGAACGCCAAAGTCGGTCCAAAATCAAGGATATGCTGACTGTTTTCTTCGATATTCGTGGTGTGGTGCACTATGAATTCCTTCCGGACGGTCAAATGGTCAAACGGTCAATAAGGAGTATTATTTGGCCGTTATGTGTCGATTGCGTGAGGCCTTTCGCAAAAAGAGGGCAGATTTATGGAAGGAAAACTCATGGATTTTACACCACGATAACGCACCGGCTCACACAGCGTTGGTTGTGTCGCAGTTTTTGGCCAAAACCTCCATCAATATCATCAACCAAGCACCGTACTCTCCAGATATGGCCCCGTGTGACTTTTTCCTCTTCTTCCGACTCATTGCCATTGCAAGGAACTTGTTTTGAGACCATAAAGGCTATAAAAGAGAATTTGCTAAAAGCCATACCTTCAGCGGCCTATAAAACTTGTATGGAAAATTGGATCAAACGTTGGCATGCATATATTGCCGCAGGAGGAGAGTACTTTGAAGGCCATAATAAAGAAAATTATTAAAAATTAAAATTTTGCGTTTTTTTTTAACTTCTCGTTCTTTTTTGATCAAATGGTGTTTCATTCTCTTTTATGTAGTCGATTAATTTAATAACTAAGAGCCTTCTTAAAAAGTGGGTGTTATATATGTACCATATAATGCATTTTAGTCTTTCATCAATAAGTTCTATAAACATCTATAAATATAGATTTATATCTATAAGTTCAAATTTCGTATAAACTGTTCACTGTTTACTGAAAGCGAATTTATTGTTAGGATAACCAAATGAGGAGTATGAATACATAAACGCTAATGTATATGATATTCTCTTCAGAAAATATATATAATAATGTTACTAAATTTGATATTAAATAATTGTATTGAAATTTGAATTGCTTGGTAGGTTTCTCTTTAACATGGATTAAATTAAATTGGACATTTCGATGCGTAGGTCGAAATACAAAATTCTAATACGATAGAAGCAAGAGAAGGCATTATTTCCTACTTTTTCAGCACATTGGATATATAATGAATATTAACTCTTTATTTGATGGTAGCTTACAGTAATCAAATTAAAGATATTATTTATTAACACTTTTATTATTAAATGTCTTTCTTATTTTAATTAATATAAATAGTTTTATAGTACGAATATTCAAATAGCTAAACGTAATTATTGGCTAAGGTCAATTCGATTGCTTTAAAGCCTAATCAATTAAGCTTAAGTCTCACAAGTTCAAAAAATACAAATTCTCTAATGAATTAAAAACGAAATTCTTATCAGTTCCTATAGCGGCGCAATTAAACAGCAAATATTTCGTTCAAAGTTGCAAAATAAAATTGTTTAAAAAAACAGTGCGAAACAAATATTGCAAGTGAAAACAACTCAAAGAAATTATTTAAATTTAAAATTTTGTAATTAATTTTAAAAAATGTTTAAAAAATGGGTAGTTTTATTACTACTCCTTCCTCTTAATATGATGTGGATTAAAGCTGAAGAAGAGGACGATGACAGCGGCATTGTGGACTATACTAATTTATATCGACGAAATCTACACCAAATGCTAACACACAGAAATCCAGCAATAGAGCCCTGTGATAATTTTTTTCAACATGCTTGTGGTGGTGTGCAAAATGGAGATCCAAAAACAACCTCCAATGAGGCAGCGTATGATGTGCCACCTTTTCTTTACAATGCACAAGATCGTATGCAATTCTTTAAGAACACGCGAGGAAAATTTAAAACGAAAGCCGGCCTATTACTTCGTAATTTATACAATGCGTGTAAAAATCGTAGTCAAATATATAAAAACAAAAATGGTCAATGGTTACGTATGATAAGTGCAATTGATTTCTTAGCCGATAATGCTTATATATACCGCAATTTTCCATTTCTTTCTTATCAATGGCTTGAGCTAACACCTAATTACACTCCAAACTGGGTAGAGTTGGCTGCCACTATGGCCGCACATGGCATACCGACGTTATTAAACATATTTTTCGCTGAAAATACTATCTATATTGCACCACTAGATATAATATGTCCCGGTTTTACTACAATTAGGGAAAGTTTAAAACCGCTTATGCGAAGTAGAAATGCGCAAATTAAAAATATAATAGCACATGAGATACACATATTCTGCAGAGAATTAACCGGTAAAATGAATACAGATTCCGAGGAAATTTTGCAAAACTCTCAGCCAAGTGATGAAGAAGAAAATACTTCTAGTGAAAAAACTACAAGTATATTGATTGATGAGACAATCACAACATATTTTGAAAACTTCTTCTACATTAATCTCAACTTTACCAAGAAAGAATTTGAATCCGCACGTAAGCTACCCATTGATATAGAACGTTTAAGTGAAATTCTGAATATTATGCGTAATGCCGATACACGTATTATGCACAATTATCTACTCTGGCAAGCCTATGAGCAGCTAAAATATGAAGATTGTTTCCTGTTAACAGAAGAATTCGAACGCATACTATTCTCCGAGTACTGGGAATGGCACGTATTTTCACCTTACTTTGATCGAAATGTAGCCATAGCTTCCTTTCTCCTTCACACCACACGTTTTCAAAAATATCGCCGTGACACCTACATGAGCGGTACATGGGATAAATTTTTATTTAAGAAACTCCGACGTAAAGATTTCAATATTGAACGTGTTATAAAACATCATGTAAGCAAGTATCTGAGTCCTGAACTTGTAGAAAGTGTTTATGTTGATAATACAACCAAGACTAATAGCAATAATTTTTATACAAATTTACTTAATTTACGTAAACGTCAACTACGTAATACATTCTTCACCCATGTCATAGACACGGAGAATCTCAATCATCCAGCATATTTTTTGCAACAATTCCTCTTCTTTTGCATTTTAATGGTTCATCAGCCATTATTTCATTACTACGCTACACAAAGCTTTGATATGTGGTACAATTCGAACATATTGTACAGCTCGGATGGTTATTATTTTGCCTTAGATTGTTTAGTGGAACAAAATACTGTTCAACGCATTTACGAAAATAGCCAAAGTGAAAAAGTTGATTTCAAAAGTGAAGCTTATGATACTAATATCGATTCTGATGACTCCAACAATAGCTTATATAATGATCTCAGCGCTGAAGAGGTTAAATCGATATTTCAGTTTTATGGTGCTTTTGTGGAATCATACCGGGACTATCAATTTTGGTTAGAAGGTGAAACCTTTGCTTTTGCTGAAGATTTTGTATTGGAATACTATCATATTAATTCCATAAGCATTATGTTTTATGCTGTAGCACAACTTTATTGTGGTCGTAATGACGCTTATTATAGCACACTTATCAATCGCAGTTTTATGAATGCACTGGAGTTTCAAGTTGCTTTTAATTGTAGCACTGAAGCACCCATGAATCCCAGAGTGAAATGCATGATAAGAAATTATTAAAAACACAAATACGAAATACAGTTAAGAAACATTTTAAAAAACCCGTCCGTTGTAAAAAATTACCAAAACTTATTTAATATTTAACATTTAATATAATAATATTAAAATAAAAGTTAATTATTAATTTTTACTCTAAAAGAAAAACGGAGTTTATATCAGATGTCGAAGAAAACTAGTACCATTTTAGAATACTCTGTATGGGATTCTTTCCCCAATTGCAATTTATTATTGAAATGGTGTGTGTTTGTCAAATTTATTACTATATCTAATTATTATTGCTATGAAGGCCTTAAGTCTTTTGGTAATCCATCCCTTAAAATTTCATATTTCAGTATGATTTTATCATTAATTTTTCTTTAGCGAAATCTACTGGACTGTGTAAATTTAAATTTACAACAATTTATTTTCAAATGTTCGTTGGCTACTGTCTTATCCGTTCTTTTCAACTGATGATAAATATCTATTTGAAGGTATTATATACTACATGTATTAACTTTTAAATTTTGAGAAATTTAATAATATAAAAATTCGAAAATTCATCTGCCCTTCCCAATGTTATTTTCCTTATTTATTAAATCATAACCTCATTTTCCCTCTAGAAATTTATTAGAAAGCCCATTATAATATCTAATTTAAGTATTGCTTCTTAAGATCACCTGCATTAGTAAAGTAATTTGAAATTGTTGCTGTAAAAATGGAATATAATTATCATGACAAATTAAATGTGCCAAAAGATAATCGAACTTCAAAAATCAGACCCATGCTATCTCTGCATTAAAACTATAAAGATGAAAAATTGGGCAGTAACCCAATTTAATGAAATCTTAATATGTGTACGATTAAGATCTTAGATGTTAAAATATGTAGAAATTTGTAAACGTCTTCTACATCCTTCTCTATATTTTATACAAACATTTTAACTAATGTTAACAAAAAAAAGTAAGATTACGAATGTACCATAACAAAGTCTTGATCACCTATACCAAATATTTCATATGTATAATTTAGCATTCATATTGCTTCAAATATATGAAAAACTAGTCGAAATATTTCCATGTGCTAACAACGTACCATATTAATGTGTTGATATGGAATCGTTATAAATCAAAAGCTTCAATTATGCAACATCATTGCCGTTTGTATAATAAGTTTATCCCATCTAACTCATTACATTGCCTTAAATATCATGAATTAACTGTTTCCATTTTTTTTTTCATGCAGTTCATTTACTAAACAATTAACCCAGTATCAACAAAAACATATCCCAGATTTTCAACATAGCTTCCACGTATGATTTATATATTTTTTGTGACCATTTCTCATTGTTAAATAAAAAATATAATATATAAAAAATGAAAAAAAAAAAATTTTGAAATAAAAACCGTCACACCAATGATTAATTCTCACTAACAGCACCTAACTCCAGTTAGCAAATAACTGATAGTTTGGACACTAAAATATAAAAATTCAGACTAACGCAATCACTAGTAAAAGATACTTATCATATTTTAATTTTTATGAAATAATACCTAAACACTGTTTGGTAGGTCTAAAACCTAATTCCCTCCCAATCACCTCGTGGTCTAACATATGTTCAGAAGGTTTTCAGCCAGCTCATTAGTATGATTAGGATTTCTTCCTATGAAATTTCTTATCATTTGCTAGATTTTCCAATTTCTTATCTTACAAAGAAGCAATTTTCAGAATCTAATGAATTGAGTAGTTTGATACACACCACTGAGCGTTGACAATATTTCCAAGTGTTTTTAATTTAAGTGTTTCTATATAGAAACTACGTACAGCGCCCCTAAATTATAAGGCTTATGTTCAGACAGGTTTAAGCATAACTTTGTATAACAGAATCTTCGTATCCAAACTTAATTAAAAATTTGACACAAGTAGCCAATATATTCTCCTTGTTTTTATTGTCCCTAAAATCTAATAGAGAATATATGACAAACACCGAAGAACTCAACCACGAAACTTAACTTCAAAATATTGCCAATATAGCAGTATATCTTCAACCAATAAATATTGGTACAATTTCAAATCAAAAATTCACTATTTTTTTACTACATTACTATCTTAGTAATACATTTAATGCTTTTATTTTTATATACTAAATTTTAATTTAAATATACCTAAAATTTAACAATTTTATATCATTAATTATAATTTAATTAGTTGCCTAACTTATATATATTTATAAACTTAAATCTTTTATTCACAATATCTGCACAAAATGCAAGATATGATAATTATTAATTACAAATAGTTAAAGAAATAAGTTATCTTCACAAATAGTTTATAAAATCATTTTATAAAAAATCAGTATCTTTATCTTATTAAGGCGATTTTAACAATCTTTTAAGTTATATTCACAAAATTCATTGAAGTTTATGGTTAACTAATAACAATTTTTAAGGATGCGAAATTTGACTAACTTATTTCAAAAATTATAATTTTTAAAAACTTTGAAAATTATTATACATTTGTTCATAATATATTATTTTTTCTTATTTTTAATTTAATTTAAAAAGAAGAAATTAATTAATCATTTAAATTAAATTGAATGAATGTAATACGTGTGAAGTATTTATTTTTTATATTAATAAAATAATGACAATTGAGTATAAATAACTTCAGAAATTTTTAAAATTCTTCACATTTTACATAACAATTTTCAATATTTGTATTTTAATATATTATATAGTTTTATTGAATTTATTTCCTTAAAATATTTATTTTACTTTAACTTAACAAATATTCTTTCTATTTTAAAATTAATTTTTAAATCAGAATTGATTTTTTTAAACTTAAGATGGTCTTTTAAATACAAAAAATAATTGTAATTATAATAATAATTATGCGCATAATAATAATTTTTATAAGTATTATGATTATAATAATTATAGAAAATAATCTATAAATGTATATAATTACACATAATTATTTAATTACACATAATTATATAATTACTCATAATTTTATAATTACACAATATTATATAACTATAACTACTCATAATTATATAATTACACATATTATATAATTACACATAATTATAGAATTACAAACAATATTTATATATTATCATAATGATAACAATTATTAATATATTGAAATATATATTATAATAATAATAATAACTATTAAAATAATAATAATTATTATTATAATGATAATAATTATTAATATATTTATATATATATTATTATTATTATAATAACAATAATTATTAAAATAATAGTAATTATTGTAATAATAATTATTATTATAATAACAATAATTATTAAAATAATAGTAATTATTGTAATAATTATTATTATTATACTAATAATTATTATAATAATAATAATTATTATTATTATTATAATACTCTATGTAATTATTAGAATTATAACAATCAATGTAATTATAATAATAATTAAAATAATAGTTAATATAAAACAATAACATAATTATTATGTCATAATAATTATGATCAATACGTACATAACTATTAATATGCTATTATTACATAATAATCATAATACTTATAGCAATTACTGTTTTATTTTAAAATTTTAATTGTATAATTATTTATTTTTTATATTAATAAAATAATGACAATATATACCTATATATATATATATACCTATATATATTATATATACCTAAATCAACAGCAATTGCAATAATTATTTCAATAATTACAAAAAATAATCATTTTAAATAAAGTAATTGTTACAATAATGTAGTAAATATGTAAAGTACAATTTATAATAAATTGTGAATTGAAAAATATCTTGAAAAATCTTGAAAAATATCTTGAAAAATCTTGAAAAATACGAAAATGCAATAAATGTTTAATTGCTATATATTTAAATATAGTAAATGATTAATTATTTATAGTTTTTTTTATGGAAAAAGAAAATTAAAATTATACAGGTGTTTTTTCTTTCCTTCTTTTAATTGGGTATTAGTACAAATAATTATAAAATATAAATAAGCAGATTAAATCCTACTTATTTAGAAAAGATTAAATGTTTGACTTAACTTTTAATAAATAAACATTTAATATTTATATATTTGGTTGTATGCGTTGCGTGAATAAACAGCATATCCAAAAACTACCTTATAATGAAACAGTCTACATTTTACAGAAAAACACAAATAAAATACTTAAAACATATAATATAATAGTTATAATAATAAAAACCAAATATTTTAATTAAATAATAATTTTAAAAGAAATCTTTACAGTTGGGAACATTTTAAATAAAAACAAATGAATTATCATAGCCTTGATGTAAAACAAATGAGTCTTTTAATCAAAATATAAAATTTTAACTATTATAAAAATGCTAGAAGTCGGAAATAATTGCAATGAAATTTTTTTTATGAAATTAACTATTATTCGAAATTAAATATAATCGAATGTAATAAAAATTGCATACTTGAGGAAAATTAGTAAAAAATCAGACCGCATATCAGCATGATGTTCCATAAAGTTATTAGGATTTCAGTAATTTTATTATTCACAAAATAATAAATAGAAATTAGTTTGTATAATAGTTAAATAAACGGTTAAATGAATTTAAATTGTTAAGAATTGTTAAGAAAGGTTTGACTAAACCGTATTTTAAGAAATGTATGGAAAAAAGAGATAACCTCTTTTAGTTCAATAGAAATATAATAAATAAATGAATCTACATAAACCACATATATACATACATAGATATTAAATTATAAAATTGGCACATTACTAAACATTTTTAATTTTACAAGAAAAACAGGTTTTTCAATTCTATTACAGCAATTTAAATACAATGTGTAATAAATTATGGTGTTTTACATAGATACACTTACTCAATTACACATTTTGACACTATTGATCTTTTGCATCTACAGCATTTGTTAAGGTAAATAAAAAGTATCCACATATAAAAATGTATGAAACAAATAATGTCATAAAAGTCAAAAAACAGCTTGCAATACCCGTAAGGCTAGTTGCAAGAGATATTCTTGACCATTTTATTCGCTACCACTAATAGTACGACCATTACTGAGTCTTCTAGCTACCGCTGCCATAGCAGCTGCGTCTCCATCGCCCATCATATCGGGTACTGTTAGCACATGTTTCAGCTCTTGTTTTAAATCGTGCGTTGACGGTCTTTTTGCTGGATCATTAGATAACATTGAATTAAGCAGTTTATATTCTTCTGCATGATTAACTGAAAAATCTTTTGGATACTGCCCACCACGAAGTCCACGCATTGTTACGATGCGTTCCATTTCAGTACCAAAATGAGTTAGTAACTCAAAAAATATTAAACCTAAAGAGTATATGTCAACTTTATAGTCATAATGTTTGCCGAGTAATTGCTCTGGTGACATATACAAATGTGTGCCCACTTGTTGTGTATGACGCGCACAGGAGGGCATTCCAGTCTGATCACTACATTTAGTTACCAAATTAGGTATGTCTGACATATCAGTAACCAGCCCAAAGTCCCCAATTTTTATTTGTCCATTTTGTGAGAAAAATATATTGCTTGGTTTGAGATCTCGATGTATTAAACCCTTAAGGTGTACATAGTCTACTGCATCCACAATTTGATAAAATATACTACCTACAAACTGTTCGCGCTCTTTTATTTTAGTGATACGCAGCCATTCACGCAAGCTTTCCTTACGACACAACTGCATTTGTATATATAAATAAACTTTATTTTGTACTGGTTTCGGTACATTAGAGTTTTGTAATGGTATGAGACTTCTACAACTATTATTATTATGCTCATTTCCTAGCTCCAATGAGAGCGGCCTTTGCTTTTTTGTTGAACTAGTTTTAATTGCTTTATTTGACTGCGATTTGGATTTATCTGCATCATTTGTACTCTCATCCCATATGTTTTGACTTTGGGGTTCATTAGAGTAACGTACAAATTCGATTTGAAAAGAATCGGAAAGTTGAGAATAGTCAATTTTTTTAGTATTTTGTTTCAAACTCATATCAAACGAATTGGAATGTATGTCAATAGATACGGCATCAGATTTGACGGGATTAACGTTTGCATTAATACCACTATTGGTATCTGATTCTTGAATGGCTAATGATTGCGAATCGCTTCGAAAAATTATACAGGAATCTTCTTCATCTTCATCAAACTCATTATAACCATTTTTACATTCAAAATCTGAGCTACATGCTGTACTAGTTACACTAGACACCCATGATTGTAAAAATTTCTTTTTAGCGATATGCAATTGTTCATGCTGTGCTACTCCATTGGGAAAAGACGGTAATGTACTACCATCTGGAGTCTCAATTTGAATAGAAGTAGACATTTCATGCACTAACCATTTGCTGTCTTCTTCTTCCTGCCAACCAATCGGAGGTGTTTCAACCCAAGCCTAAAATTTGTATAAACATAAATATAATTAAAATTTGTTTTTAAAATATTGTTTATAATATTCTTATTTTACTTACTTGAAAATAACGAACTATGTTCTGATGTTCACAGTGTGCTAATGTCTTTACTTCTCGCATAACGCGATCTCGCGATTCTTTCTTATTGGGCAATGTTATACGTTTCACAGCATATTTACAATCGTCTATTTTATTTTTCGCTTCGAAAACCACACCAAAACCACCGCGGCCCAAACATCGCATTAATTCAAAATCACCTTGAAATCTTGATGAAAAATTTTCACTAGAATTTGATGTTGATTCAGATAATGATCTGTATACACCATTAGCACTTGTACTATTAGTTTTTGTGGAATTAGTTGTTGGTCCCAATAATAATTCAGTAGAAGTTTCTGTAGCTTCAAATGCTGTTGGCACAGGTATATGCCGTTCAATAACCATTATCTCACGGCGTCCCATTATAAAATTTAGCAATAAAGCCGAGGTAAGGGCAATAACAACAATCTCCTTCCACCAAAACCACAAGGATAAAATTACTACTTTAACTGGTGCATCAACATCGTCTAAACTGAAACCTAAATCATCAACATACGTTAAGTTTGATTCATTATTACGTGGTGCATCCTCAATAGCTGGCACAGTATTTGTTGATTCGCACAATATATTTCCATTAGTTTTATTTAGATCATCAATTGTGTAGAAATAAAAGCCATTGCCATTTACATATTCTGATGCATTTAGTACAGATTGCGCTGAAACTGCAAAATGTTCCTCATCGTATGGTACCAATTCATTACCATTTACTTCCCTTTCTTCTCTATTTGGTGGTATTGTGCCACTGCTGCCTATGATTTTATCATCTCGGACAATAGACAATGAGTTACTGCTTGCAGCTATAGGACGCCAAGGAATTTTAGGCAAACGTGTTTCAACCTTTGATAATTGATTGTACAACTCTGATGATTTATAGGTAATTTCTTTACGCAAATTAATTGATTCCTAAAACAAAGAAATATTATAAGTTATATTATCTATAGAAAGTTATTATTGAAACTTACTTGTATATATAACTGCTTTTCATACATGCCTAAATATATTGATGGAGCAGTAGATGGATTTGGTGCTTCAAAAATATTTTCATCATGATCCCACAACCATTGTGCTGAACTAAACATATCTATTGATTCAAGCTCATCTGCAGGTCCTATCTTCCAAGCACTAACAATTGGATGATCAAACTACAAGAAAACAATAAAGATTTGTAATAAAAAGAAAATAATATAAGATAAAATAAAATAAAAAACCATGAGAATAAAATGGGTATGTAAAATTAAAAAACTTGTGCTACTGTACTTGAAAATGAGAAAATCCTATCAAATATTTAAATAGTTAAAATTTGTTTAAAAAACTGGAACTGGAAAGATATAAGAGAATACCCTATATGTAATATATATTCTTAACACACTAAAATAGTTTCATTATTGTAGAAATCTTCACACATAATGTATGATTTTTATTATCAATCGCAAAAATTTTTCTCGACGTGTGGAGTAACAACGAGACACTTATATGTATGAATAGGACTAAATAGAAGAATTATTATTAGACATCACTTGCTGCTATCACCAAAATAAATCATCACTTAACCCTAACATAACCTACAAAATTCTTTATCTTTTTAAAAATAGTATTAATTGCGCTGCTTTTAATCCTTCTTAATCATATTTCATCGACTTTTGCTTAAAATAAGAATTAAACCATTTTAAATGAATTATATATAATCAATTTTTTAATAGAATTTTAATATTTACTTTATACTTCCACAGCATAACATTTGGATCAGTGGTACTAAATGCACACACAATTCCTTCGGGTACAATGATTTTTACATCCACATCCAACATAGCTAAATCCAATTCACTAAATTGGCTATCATGGCATTCAGATGATTTAAGCAAATCCAATTCATGTTGTCCCACACTGAAGTTCCAACGTTCAACACCAGTTCGAGATTCTACAGCGCGTACAGTTTGAGTTTGCCTTCGCACTACGATAACATCATCCAAAGCTGGATCATGCTCAACAGTGAAATTATTCTCTTTATCTTTATCCTTGTAATTATCAACATTTGAACGTGTCAAATCAGCATGGGTGGAGTTTATACAACCATTCATCGAACATTCATACAATAATTGTCCAGTACGTGCTGACACACCATAGGTACGGGTCTCTTTACCACCAGAAATAACCAAATCATCCGAAAATTTTGCAGAAGAACTAAGCAAATGTTCGGTGGTTATTGGTATCGGATCAATAGATTCACCATCAAATTTATAAATTCCGCCACTCAAAGAAGGGATCATACGTACAAACTGTCCATTGTTAGTTAGTTCAAGTCGATGAATACTTGATGAAATTAAGGCACCGGGGCTTGTTGCTAAGCTCCAATGTAATTTACCAGATTTCGATATATCGAGCGTGGAGAGGCGTCCATCTAAGGTTGTAACATACAAAAGCCTGAAATTTAAAGCAAATAAAATATACTTATTTTAAATTATTAATACTTAATACAAAAATTATATTGTAAAGCGAACAAAATACATATATGCAATTTATAAGATCTGATATATGCGTTGATATTAAATAAAATAAAATATTTATTTTAAATTGTTTCACTTATTAAATAATACGTTCTTCATCAAAAAACTTTAAGAAATCTTCTATTCACTTATACATTTTTAATTTATTGCTATTTTTGTTCTTTGAATTTCCCCTCTCGTGTATGTGGTTTTGTTTATTTTAAAAAAAAAATAATTTTAGATAAGGCAAATATGATTTTTTATTGTGTGCATAATTGTAGGCTTACATTTTTATATTTGTTTTTATATTTCTATATTAATATGCAATTAAATATACGTTTTTATAAACATATGAAATATATACTTTTGTATACTTTTGGAATATACATAAAAATATATTGATCGACAACCAAAAAAAATATTTTCATTTTTAAGAGAACATTGTGGCACAACAATTAAAATGTAAGTATTACTCCATATCTTCAAATCGAAAGATGCAGAAAAAGGTATTACTGCAGGTAAGAATAAGTAAGTTTAAGTAAGTAAGTTTAAGCTGAACGCTAAGGATCTTTGCTACTTAAGTATTCGGAAGTTTTTGAAGATTCAAAAGGATTTTACTCCGCTTCAGAAATCAAAACTCAACTTTATAATGACTAGTTAAGTTGTGTTGAAAGTATTTCCTAATAGTACCGATCTGAAAGCTGAATTTTACAAGGACATACAGACCGCTGTATTATATTTCAGTTTACACATATAACCATTAATTCTTACTTCAGTATATGTTCTATATGATAAAAATGTGGAGGATCGAAATATGTTGAACTTAGAGAGCATACATTGATGGTTCTGCTGTCGTCACTTTCATTAAAAAATATATCACTAAGCATGTGATAAGCACAAAGCTACCTCGTCAAGAAATAAACACGAATATCAACAGAAGCTCAAAACCAGTACACCAGGCAATATAATGCGCCGCTGTTGAACTAGTTATATGGTAAATTAAGGAAAGAAATAACTAGATTTACAAGAAAAAAAAGAAAATATACACCATCACTAAACCAGAACCAGATGTGTAACCTAAGAAAAAACAAAGGGATCTCCTCAGCCAACCAAGAAAAGACATATCTAAGATCTGACGCATTCTAAGGCTGCGAGTTCCCTCCTATGTATATTGTTGACACTGTTAAGTTGAGAAGGAGAAAGAAACTGTGGTACGCCTCTTCTGCAGCTACCTACTTCTACCCAAGAGCAGAGAGTTTCTTAGGTAATAATTATTTAGCTTTCTCACAGGTGTGTCCATCAGTTAAATTAAAAACATTCTATGCTTTATTGAGCTCTCACGAAAAACATTTAGTACGAGGATCACTATTTATATTTTAAGTCTAATAATGAAAAAATACTAACTTTTTAAAAATTGCTTTATTATTTCTCAAAGTATTCTTATGAATTCTTCTTTTTATAATTAATAAACTTTTGCATGCGTTCCAACCATTTGTCAAAGTATTTTTTGCAATCTTCAATGACTTTTTCCGCCGACAAACATCGTTTCCCACGCAATTTATTCTTGACGTTCGGGAACAAGAAGAAATTATTGGGTGCCAAATCAGGACTAATCAGGGTGCCAGAATTCAGGACCGATGACCCATTAAATCAATTTTTTGAATGTTCAAATAGTCGGTTGTTAAACGAGATGTGTGAGCACTCGCATTTCACTGGACTACCGGTAAACAAGTGGTTGTGTGCCATTCGGAATTGATGGTTTTACGCTTCTGCAATGGTAAGTTAACAATTGTTCTTGTACAATTGTTGTTTTATTTAATTTTCATGTCTTCTATGAAGACTTTATACACAAAATTAAACAAATTTAAGGGCCCCACGTTGGGCGCCAGTTAACAATTGTTTTAGTACAATTGTTGTATAGTCAATTTTTCTGTCTTCTATGAAGACTTTACCCACAAAATTAAACAAAACACGTTAGCTTACTATGAAGCGCTTTTCTAAAACTGAAAACGCATTTATTGATTTTTTTGTTCGACACGTACTTCAGCATAAGAATGCAAAAAGATATATGATCTTATGCTGACGTAGTGTCTGGAAATTGGTTAATATTATACGATAAATAAAATAAATAAATATGATAATATTTATTAAAAAATATATTATCCGCTGACACCAGTAAATCCACAGTGCTTCAATGTTTACGTTATTAACTGGTATAATTGCCACATGACAAGTTTTCCCAAACAAAACAAGCGACCATTTGTTTCGAAGTGTTTCGAGCGAAAACATCTTTTGTTGGATTTGATTCATCTGTTTACGTTCCGGCTCATACGCATATATCCATGATTCGTCACCTATTCCAATCTTATATACGTCTTTTGAAGCACCGCCATTGTACTTCTTGAGCATTTGTGTACCTTTTTGAGATTTTTTTTAAATGATAGAGGATCCAACGAGAACAAAACTTTCTCACGGCTAAATTATCGTTCAATATTTTATATATACTCGTGATACTAATGCCCAAGGGTGCCGTTAATCTCACAATATGTCGCATGACGATCTTGCATTATCAGTTTTTGCACAGCATCAATGTTTTCTGGCACAACAACTCATTTTAGACGAATCATTGTTAACGAATTTTGTCAGTGAGCGAACTGCGGCCACTATTAATATCATTGTACCAGCGTTTCACAGTAGCAAGAGATGGAGCTTCATCGCCATATGTGGCGTTGTGGAATTAAGTTGATGGATGCACTCTTGTCTTGATACTCGTAATCCATGTCGAAAGTCATAATTTTTTTCGTGAACAATCAATTTAGAAATCACTATAAATAACACAAATAACATCCTTTTGACAAAAAGTCTCAGGTAGATTATGGTTAATAATGTCAAACTTCCGTATGGGAACGTCAGACAATAATAGTAACTCTACAACGTATGCTAATATCTCAAAACCAAAAGAAAAATTGATTATTTCATCTTAACCCGAATACAATATAAATGAAAACTAAATAAGAAATGAATTATTATATTTATTTTTAAAGTATCTAGATTACAGAAAAATCTTTTGATACAGATACATACAGATATTTATTTTAAAACGAACAATTTTTAGTCTGTAAGTAGGCAAGAGAATCAATTAATACTATACCTACCCTTGAAAAATGATGCATTCTTAGCAAAAGTTGCAGCTGCAAATATAGTGTGAACAGATGTTAACACAAAATAAAAAAAAAATAAAATAACGCGATCAATGATTACAACACAGGCAACTGGGATGGACAAAAAGTATGCGGCGTTTTGATCAAAATTGAAAATGTTTTGTCTATCATTTGAAAATAATTTTATTTATCGAAATATCATCCTATTTTTCGGCGGTTTTCTGTTATTTTTCAACTGAAACTTATATGTTTTTATTGTAGAATTTTGAGTATTTGAATATAGAATATTTGAAAACTTTATGCAGACAAATCTTACAATTTTCTTTAATTGGGATGAATGTATAGTAATCTTACAACGTATATGGCATATACCATGACATAAATTAACGCATAAAAATTCAATGGCTTTGCTACTTTGGTCTTATCATGTGAATGGAAGAAAAGATTCCGGCTAGAAAGGTGTTTGATTCGGTTCACACTGGTAGAAAATGCGGTTGTGGACGTATGTATCATCAGTGCAAAGACTGGGTGACCAAAAATATGAAGACACTCGGTACTACCACCATGGGGCCTTTAAGCCAGCTAATCCAATACCTGAAGGAGGCTAGTGGATGCGATAGTAACCGCGTATTTTACTTCACTAAACACACAAAAAAATAATAAAACCTATTAAAAGTGCATGCATCACTTCTGGTCTCAGTATTTTACATATTTGCTTTTGGTAAGGCAATAAATAGTTTGTTAAAATGAATGATATCCTGAAAATTTCTTTTAATACGAAGCATCGCCATTTCAGGTTTTTTATTTTGAACTCCTTTGATCAGGAGTTTTATCTTTCTTTGATGAAATTCAATTTCAGTCAATATTATTATATGTGAGTCACTTTACTTGATATATTTTCAACGCAATTTCAGTTAATTAACGATATTGTTTCTCCACAAATATTTAACAGGTTTTTTAAGAATCTTATCCATAACTTAATTGCCTTTCCCATTAACAGACCAGATATAAATTTTTAAAACAAAACCGACAGTAATATTTTTTAACAGTTGATTGTAATATAATGCAGGCATCATAAACAACACAAATCTTGAAATACACCTGTACACCATTCTCTATTTTATCATATCAAAACTGTAAAGTTCCCTACAATCACGTTTACCAATAAACCAATATCCACAAAAGAAAAAATAAATTACCAAATGCATTTCATCGTTTTAAAGTTAAAACCAATCTAACAGAAAAATTATTACAAATTATAGCAAACGCTTGTATATCAAATAAGGAATTTTTATTTTTCCTTTTCCATCTAACGTTCGAATATATAGCATATAATTTTCCTCCACCATTTAATACTATTCCTTAATATCGGTTATAACATATAGTTGTAGAGTACCTAAGCAATAATCAAATATAATACGTAATATTTCATTTTTCTATGTATATATTCGTAGTGGAACCCAAAGTGAACAGGACTATTTAGAAATAGATTTTTGTAGGGTGACTATCTTTTGACAATTCCATACACAGGTAAGTTAGATCTTCACTAACATATTCTCAGTATGTGTAACATTCAAACGAAAAAAAACCAAAATGATCGAATTGAGTTGAGAAATGAATAATTATTTTACAATAAAAAATGTTTGCAAGATTATAGGGTATTGGTTAGTAAGTTTGGAAACTTAGTAAGAATTTTATGAAAAATTAGGTCTTTTAAAAACGTTAAACAATTACAAAAAAAAAGTTTTAAAAACTTATTTATTTGCAAAAACATATT